TTCGGGGAAATATTAGGGGTCTAAAAAGCCCCCTGATATTTCCCTTTTAAAATAGAAAAAGAAATTGAGGATGCAAAGTCCTCAATCTCTTTTTCTGCAGTCTCCATTCTAAATGAATGGAAAGCACAGAGGCTTCCCATTCATTAAGAAAATATTTTACTATCAAGCTGTTTCTGAATGGGGAGGAGCCTCTGTACAGAGTGCTTCTCCCCATTGAGAAACTTATGAATGAACAGGAGGTGATGTAAATCACCTCCTGTTCATTCATTTATAACTGGGGACACATAGTACTATGTGTCCCCAGTTATTTACAAACACTGGAGTGATCAGCCGATCGCTCCAGTGTTTGTCCTACACAGAGGATTGGTACATACCAGTGACATGTACCGATCCTCTGCCACTCGTCCACGCACAGGGGGGCTGCAACTTCTCTGGATTCCCCTGCTCTCCCGGCAGCGGGGGATACGACGAGCCGCGGGTGGGGCGGAGCCGCTGTGACAGAACGGACGAGCAGTGAGGGGAGAGAGAGGCGCCGGCTGTCAGATCCTGGCCGAGCGTCTCTCTCTCTCCTCACTGCTCTGCATTAGTTAGTGACAACGGCTCCATCCTCCGCCGGTTCCTTCACTTCTTCTCGGATCCCCGCTGGGGAGAGCAGCGGGGATCCAGAGAAGCGGCGGGAGGAGAGGACATGGCGATCTACCAGTGATCGCTACGCGATCGACTGGTAGATCGCGATCGACCTTATGGGCACCCCTGGCCTAATGGCATCAAATACAAATTAAAGGTAGCCAACCTTCTGGATTTTGGTTTACGGTTCCTGCACTAACTGTATTGTGTGTATTCGTGAAGGTTGGTCAAATACTATAAGCTGACCCAGCTAGAATTTGAAAAGGTCTCAAATAAATAATTACATCTAGTGGTCAGTGTAGTACAAACCCTTGGGTCTAAAGCCTGCTGCTTCCTAACTAAAAATGTTCTTAACCTGAAGAAAAAAAAAAGAAAAAAAAAAAGAAAAAAACAATACAGCCACCAAGTTTAAGGAATGGTAAGCCGCAATAAATTGCATTTTGTAATGCTTTAACTACAGGTCTCTGTTATGTGATACTATAATGCACACTCCGTGTGTAATCAGCAATAAGTTTAAACAGATGGCAAAGCAGCAACTGTCTTTAGGTGACCTCTCATTCCCAGGGTCTACAATCATTCTCAGAAAGAGTAAGGTAAGGCAAATAGGTATACCTGCACAGTAATGACAATTTAGGACAGCCGATTTAGATTCCTACATAAAACCAGTCATTTATGGTTGTCTTTTGTTGTACATTAACCCGTTTGCGTCCACAGACATACATAGTACGTCATCGACAGCAAGGCCCTGTAAACAGACTCCCGACTCTGTTTACCTATGTAAGCCAGCTGCCGCCTTTACAATAGAAGCGATTCTGGTGGCTTCTATAGGCCGGTAAAGTGCATGCTACACCCCACCCAACACCCCTGCCATGTTTCCCGGGCTGCTCTGCCCCTCCTGCAGACCTGGGAACCGCATGTTGGGTGCTGGCGGGAAGCTGGGGAGGAGAGCGGCCAACATCCGTTCACCAATCTCCTCCCCGCTCTATGGGAGCAGGAGCAACACGGATTGCACCACTTCCGGCCCCTGAGCTGTCACTGCTCGGCTACTGCAGCCCAGCAATGCGCTATTAAAGTGCAATCTGCATTCAATAGCTTAAAGTGGAAAGATGATACTAGGAGTCTTTTGAACCCCCAGTATCACCTTAAGGAGGACCTGTCACTATCAATTTACTATCACATAGGGAAAAACCCCTATGTGAAAGCAATTAAAAGTAAAAAAAACGTTAAAAAGATATATTGGTCCTTTTTTTATGTGCCCCATCCCCGCGAGCGCACATTCACGCATACGGGTGCGCCTATGTTCGAAAACGTCGATTGCGTTTCACATGCACGCCAGGGAGCAATAATTCTAGGGCCAATATTCAGGCTGCAAAAAACGGGGGGAGGGGGAGGGGTTGCTTTTTAAGGCTCATGTTGATGAGTGTTGTTTAAAAATGTGTTCCAAATAGGCCTGCAATATCCAACTGACTTAGGGTGCCCACACACCTTACGATAATCACGGGAAATCCTGCGATCGTACGATGATCGTAAGGTGTGTGGAAGCCGTGCGACCTCTACTACTGTAAGGTCGCACGACTTAACTTACGAACATGTTCGAAAACCCGCCGAGCATCGTACGATGTTCGGCGGGTGTGTAGCATGTTCGTAAGATAAAAGCCTTGAACGCCGTTCGGCATTGCGGTCATCGGAAGCCCGCCCCTCAGGGGGGGGCGCGGCTTGCGATCATCGCAAGTACGATCTGCCTGTCCAAGATAGGCAGATCGTACGTTTTTTTAATTACCTTACAACCATCGCAAGACAAAAGTCTTGCGATGGTTTTAGGGTGTGTGCCCAGCTTTAAATTGGACCTTTACCCAGATCTTTAAAATAACAACAAACGCACCTTTAGAAATGTTAAGTAATGCCAAAAGTGGACCAGGAAGTAGATGAACTCTATTTGTAAGTAAATGAAAAACAAGTTTAACCAAATGAATGTGTAGCGCCCATCACCTTTTGTGATGTGACTACTATGCATTTAGTGATAGCCAGGGCTGTAGACAGCCTGGCTGGATTTGTAGTGGTGATTACATGGTTAATCCCAGGTGTCTAACCTTGTCTGTACCTCCCTGGGCGGAGCGAGACTCTGTCATATTGGGGGACAGCCAATAGGAGACACTGTAATATGTTCACAGTAGAACCCTTGTACCCTCTCTCCCTAATCAGAAGTTCAATAAACTGTTCAACTAGCATTATAACACTGAAGTGGACATCAATTTATGGGCATCAGAAGAGGGCGGTTAGTGCCAATGGGTGCAGCTGGAAATCAATCCCTAGACCGACTAGATGTGGACCAGGCAAACAGCGGCTCCTTGCGGGGAGTTATCGCTACAAATGTAGGATGATTTTAAATTAGCAGAACTGCATGCTGATGTGATTTTTGAGTAAAAGGGGGCAAAAGGTCCACTTTAAAACTGAGCAGTATACATGGCTACTCAGACTGTGTTTGACCTGCTTTGCGTTGCTTTCCTTTGGATGCAGCATGTCCTACTGAGGTGCATCTAAACTGCAGTCCAAAAGCAACCTCTGCGATTGCCAAAGAGCAAAAGAACGGTCGTCAACATAAGCCCTTATACTGCATTTTCTTCCTGTTCCCACTTACCTCCTCCCTGAGCTCATACTGTTCAATCAGTTTCTTCAGCCTGTCAGCCAGCTCCACATTTTCCTGACGTAGCTTAGTGTTGCGCTCATTATGCTGCTCCATCTGCGATTGGATGTCATTGAGAGTCAGCTGAAAGTGAGAGGTTACCTCCTTCCGTTTCTCTTCCTCCTCCCGGGCTCTTTGTACCCCTTCCTCCTGAGCAAGTTAAAACACAAACAGCTCATGATGATGGTGACTCCTAAACTGAACATACTACCAACTGTAACCATACCCTAACCCTAAAGGCTTAACTTTTAACATGATTGTACCCTACAGCTAACCCTTATAACACTAAAGGTTATCTTACTCAGACTCCTAAACTTGTCACATAAAAAAAAAAAATAATAATAATAATAATAATACTTTAATGCTTAATATATCACTGGCATACAATTGAAACAATGATGTGTATAATCCATGGTTATAAAAATCTGCACTTAGAACCAACGATTCAAATTACACTTGCCTTCAATGTGCGGTTGTGTCTTTGCAGTTCTCTGCATAGGCTCTCCAATTTACTACGAGCTAGGATGGCCTTGCTATGTTCGTTGCGCAGCTGGTCCTTCTCTTGAATAAGCTGACTCTGTTTTTTCTGAAGAATTCTCATTTGCTTCTGGGATGTCCTATGTTCCTCCAACTTTTAGGAGAAGACAGAAAGCATTAAGTAAGAATACAATCATGATATCCAATTTTGGTACACTGGTAATTATGCAGTTTACACAGCTCACCAGTTCTGCATATTTCTTGCAAAGACCAGTCAGTTTTTCTTCTGGAGTACTCAGTGTGTTCAAAGTCTGCATAAGTAGTGTGATCTCCTTACCTGGACACAAAGGGGTGGTTTACATTAGACTACATATTAGGAAGCAAGCAGAATATCTTTTTGGTGTCAATATGGTCTGGTATTAGTCTATTCTGGTATGTAATCCTACAACCCTAATACAAAAGAATAAAAACAAAACCCCACCATGTAAAAGAGAAAAGACATTTTTCATGAATGTGTTGTCTGAAGCTTAATATCAAGTGTTCTGTATCAGAATTAGCAGCCCATTTTAATAAGGGGAAATCACAGGAATCTCAATTAAATTGATTCATAAACAACGCCTGAGTGTGTAAGCTGTGCTGCTTGTATGTCAATTGAGGTTTCATTTCAAATTCTTCTTGGAGTGTACCTTTAAACCTGTTCCATTTATGTTGCAGCACCCACAATCTGGCACAATATTACTTACCGAGCCCCTTTGACTTCTTCTTATCTTGTACACGCTTTTGATCTTTGTCTGTTTCAATAATAGTTCGACTGTCTGCTGCACCTCGCAGTACCTCCTTCTCTCCATTGACTTCAGGCACCACTGTTTCTGTTTCTCCATTCCTAGATTCTGGAGGACCTTTGTTTGTTTCTTCAGGATCTGCAACTCCTTCCTGACCAGCATCCACACAATATGTATTTAAAATGTCTTCAAACTGCCGGCTTAGTTCCTCAGACATATCGCACACACCAGGAGGATGACAAACGGCTCCTTCTCCTGCACAAGAACAACAAAAACTAAAAAGATTTTGTACCTTGGGGGCTGCAAACAGCAGCAGGAATCTATGACAGTCAAGAAGTCAGAATAAAAAAAGGTGACCAGTTGCTCTTACTGCAATTTATATTTTAAAAGAATATCTACAGCCAAATATTTTTATGACATTTTGGACAGAGTAGGAAAGGGTCAAAACTACTGGCCAGGTTTTGATGCCAATTTTAAAAACAAACGGTATTGCCATGTTCCCTCATTGCAGCCACATAGTGGTCCTGTCCAGTGCTCAGGTCCTGTGCTTAGGTGAGCAACAGACCGAGTGTCACTTATGCTCCCTGTTCTATATATAAGGACATCCACCAACCGCTGCTGACTTTCAAACTGCAGTAAAAGTCACATGGACAGTCTCAGAATTCACCATCAGCCCTAATTATGTCTGTACGGATTTCCTGAAAACCAGCTAGCCGCAGAGAGAAAAAGTGCTCCAGATTACTGCTGACCTCTTGAATGGATCATAGGTGGAAGTGCAAAGCCCATCATTTCACAGCTACTATTGCAGTATTTGACGCAATGGAGGTCAGTAGAGAGAGCCCAGAAGGAGTAATGAAAGGCTAGGAGGTCAACAAGTGCGAGGGTTAAACATGAAATCGAACAGGAAAGAGGGACTGGATAAGCAGAGGAGATCTGTATGCAGTGGAGATGCTGCGATACAGTGGCGGCATCGTTACTGGGAGAAATGAGGAACGGAAAAAACACGAGAAAGGCGACTTAATTGTACATAACTAGTACTGCGCTTGTTGATATTGAAAAGACTGCCAGTAAAAATCAAGAGGTTTTGTCTGGTATGAAATAAATAACATGACTTAGGTCAATGAGTGTGATGTTGAGCAGTATTTATCTAGAAAAAAAAGGACAGCTGTGTGAGACATTGTGCAAATTGTTGATAAGTAGTAACGTGGAAAAGAACCAATTTGTGTTGTTTTGAATGTGAACACAGAGGCCACTATTGGGGGTAATATAAAAGGGAGAAGGCGATTGCTGACAAAAGGTTGTTTTTAAAAAATGGTATCTTTAGCAATACCTGCTGAGAGCAGAGTGGGGAAACCTGAGCAATGCCTCGGGATAAGTGGTGCACTATTATGTGTGTTTACTGTCAGGTTTTGGTTGTGGCATGCAATCTATTGGAGAGGCTTCCCTTTACTTCCTGTCCTGAAGATAAGATGAAGTCTCTCTAAAGTGAAGGAAGTCCTCCTTTCACCCCAAGAATGTCCCTATTGGACTATTTCCCCTTTATTCCTGTGCCAACTCTAAAATGTTGGATTTCCCATCACATTTAGTCCCAGAAAATTAATTGAGTGTGAATATTTCCATTGGTAGCTTAGGTATACATATTAACGCCTATATCCAGGTAGAGCGACACTAAACGCAGGAGTTAAAGCTTAATAAATGCATTCAAGAACCTTAACATAAATGTATCTTATGTGTGTATCACTCGGCTGTAGATCCTCAAATCATCTCTGAATTGGTGCTGACACTGTCCTTCCTTCTGGAGGGTGGCTACTTTAGTTCCCCATGATCCCTGTGTGTGTTGTAAAGTAGCCGATGCTGTTAAAGCCAGCAAAAGAGAAGTAGAGGGGAGAATAATTTCTTACGATGATAGATTTGGTAAGGGCCACTGAGAGTCAGCACTAACTTTGAGAAATAAAAATGACTACTTGCAGTTGGGCTGCTCCCGTACTATAAGGGTTAACTGCTTGTTTTTGTCTAGGAGTATTTTGTAAAGCACTTTTATTTACCCGATCCCCCTGCTCCCGCTGGTTACAAGTGGGATCAGATGCGAGGATGAGGATGCAAAAGCCAGGAGTGGAGGGGAAGAGAGGCGAGTGCCCACTGCCACGGGAAGGGAATCAGGTAAATACAACTGCTTTACAGAATCCCCCTAGACAAAAATGAGCAGTTAACCTTTGCAGTGCAAGCCTTTAATTAGGGCAGACAGTGTTGATTTGCAAAGCAAGTTCCAATTTCCATGTAACTGAAACAGTGCGCATTGCACATTACTGGACAAGCACTGCTATGGAGTAAACTGCTAGCAGCATGTCTGTATGTATTTATCCTCTAACACTGTAAAGCTGGCCATAAACTAATACGAAATGCAGGTTGAAAAAAAAAATAGAAAATATTCCTCCATGCACGCTAAAGGGTGTGGTTGAATGAATCTTCTGATGGACCATTGCATTCTGACAGCGGTGGGTGTGTGGCTGTCAGTATACCCAATCAGTAACAGTAGCTGGTTTGCTCCCATTACTATTTGGCAAAAATTTTAGAAACAGCTCCTTCAATTTTCTGATCGCAGGATGCCATACGGAAGCCTGCCGCTGACTCTGACCCTGAATAAGATGCTCCAATGTAGAAATAAGCAGAAAACAAGTTGCACACAGGCTTACCCTCAGTGACATGGGTAGCAGAATCACATGCATCAGAAGAACCCTGGAGCGGGATTGTTTGCGGCTGACTTGGTACGGAGACAGGTGTGAGTGACTGAGTGGGCACGGTTGGTGGAAGCTCGGCGTTTGTGCCATTCTGTATTTCTTGGTCCTTCATTTTGAACTCTTTAAACACTAGAAAAAAAAGACACCGATGAGATACAGATACTGCTGGAATTCCAGGTTCAATTCACAAAGCTTTACACAAGGTTGGTTACTGTATTTACAGTCATGTGGCTGTAATTTTGACATCTCATTGGACTTAGCTAAAGAGAACTGCCGGTTATCCTGGAGAATCAGCTTGAGATTGAGTCTGAGATTGCTCATAAATCCTCAGGTGTCACTAGCAGCAGCTGCTGTTAGTTACTTGTGATATGGGTCATATGTCAGTTGATGTATACTGCAGTGTAGTTACTATTCTATACACACAGCTAGAACCCCACATGTATGTTTGCCCACTTTACCATCTATGCAGAGAAGTTGTACGCCATCCCAGACCGGCACAGCCCCGCCGACACTCACCCTATTCCGCCGCCCGCTGGGATAAACTCAGTTCCGGAAGCCAGCATCAGAATCCCAGGCCCCGAGCAGGACATCCCTTGTCCAATCACATAGAAGGCTCAACATTTACCTAGCCAATCACAAGCAAGAGGAGGAGCTAACGGAAGTGCTCGTCCGATCTGTCCACGCTGCGTCCGGAATCTTAAACTGCAATGCTAAGTACACAGAGACAGGGCGGGATTCTGGGCGCCACCGCGCAGACTACAATTCCCGACATGCCTTGCGCCGCGCTGGTCGCCGAACGCAGCACGTAGTGCTTGTGACAGTATGGGGAATTTGGGAGTGCTAGAGGCTGAGTGACCTTGGACTGCTTAGCGATAGGCTTTGGCAGGAGTACTGAAGGAAATGTAACACTTTCTACCCTATGATAAATTGAAGTGAACGGGGTGGTTATGTGGAAGTCGGGTAGGGTGGGGCAAGTATCTTAGTTTATATTGTCTGGGAAAAAAACACCCTCTAAAGGAATTATTTTACTGGTTAAAGGTTTACTTCACTTTTACTGATTTTTACTATGTACTATACAGCTTACATTGTAAGTTATGTGGCATTCCTCTCCCAGCAGGAATTCCCGATTGGGTTGGGAGAGCAATGTTCAACTGAACTCAGCAACAAGCACATCCCTCAGTCCCTGTTCACACATGTGGGTATCATGAACACAATTCAAAAGTGCTTTGACACCTGTACACAAACGCGGAACGTGTTTACAGTGCCATAACTAGTTAAACACAAATCAAACTAGTTAATGGCACCCCAAATGCAGCCGAGCAAATGTGTTTTTTTCCAGCGCATTTGAGTGTGTGAGAACGTGCAGAAATGCACGGGGAAAAACAGAATGCATGTCACAGAATCTGAGACGTACTAACATTCCGTTTTGTGCGTGTCCAGGGACTCATTGAAATCAATGGGAAGGCATGCCAACCATGGGAAACAAACGCCCAGCAACCTGCAACGCTCAGGTGTGAATGGGGACTAATAGAAAATCTTCTCCCAATTCATACCTTTAGCTCAGGATGTGGTGGTAAATGCACCTGAATGCGGCTTTGCCAACTGTCACAAAATAGAGAGCAGGAATCTTCAATAGCCGACTGCCTTGCAGGAGTGTTGGGTCCCCATTCCCCAACCCCTCCTTGCACTGTGCTTACATCCACCAACCCCTTTGTAAATACAGGACATATTGAGCCAGTGGGAAGATTCACTGTACATAGCGTTGGGACCAGACATCTGGCACACCCAGAAATGGTAGACGCTAAAGATTCTACTGGAGGTATTATAAACAATTGACACAGCCATTTACCCTGTAAATCTCTGTAAACATTTATTGTGTGCAAAAAATGAACATTCTTAGCATAACTTCTTTTCAAGTCAAATGTAATGTAATTTCTGCATTATGGCCACTAGATGGAGGAGGAGAATAGGAAATAAGTATATATATTTTCCTATATGCTTTTATGGTGATCAATTATTTATTTATTTTTAATAAAGATATATTTGAAATATAATGTGTCCTTCATGCCTAGAGGGACACCTTAAAAGCCCCACTTTTTCTTGGTACATATTGTCCTATGCTAGATGGAGCTAAGGAGCATAGGAAATACGTATTTATATAAAGAGTTTTGCTATGCTCCTCAACTCCATCAGGTAGCCATATTGCAGTTTTACATTACAATCAACCAGAAAATATACTAAGAATGTTCATTTTTGTCTATATTCGCACAGAACGAACCTTCACAGAGATTTGCAGGGCGAACAGCTCTGTGAATTGTGTTTATATATAGACCCCTAAGAGTCTTTTTTAACAGGGAGTTTTTTCAAGCAAGAGTCACTTTGAAATAAAACTTTGCTCTGTGCAGGCAGGTAATACCGCTCCCCCTCCAGCTTTCCCTCTGTCCTTCATTCCCCTACTCTTCATTTAACCATATGGAGAAATACAGAGTATGGGGATCAGGTGATTCACTCCAGTTCCACACAGCACCCTGGGATTGGATGTTCAGTCATCTAGCACTGTCATGTGGTGGTGGGGAACAAGATGCAACCTACACAGGGCTTCTGGTGGATGAATGGAGGATGAATGAAAGTGGAGGAAATACTGGCTATATGCCGCTTAGATTGTAAACTTGTTTGTGCAGGGTCCTCCTCACCTACTGTTTCTATATGTCAATATTTGTCAGCGTTTCTTACCCATCATGCCTAAATGATTGTGCAGCTGACGATGTTGGCGCTATATAAATAATTGAAATTGCAGCCAAGAATAGTGGAAATTAGAGGGTAATTTCACTTTCCCAGGCAAATTTAGGAAATTAGATTACCCGTCCAATCTCTACTCGACTTTTGGCGGAACGCTCCTTTTCCTTTACCAGTGCCAATGTACTACCTGTACTCCTTACACAGTAGTGCAGCATGCGCTCTGTATTTTAAATATTGCTTGCAAACGGGCGAGCACTCATTGCTAAGAAGCGCTGATCAAGTAGTGCTTGCCATATGCAAGTGAAAATTAAAATACAGGTGCACTGCTGTGTACATAGTACAGGGACTAAACCAGCAGAGGGGAAGGAGTGTTCAGCCAAAGGCAAGTACAGCAGGGGGGGGGGATTCTGAACCAGTTTGTTTTATTTTTTTTACTGCATGGGCAAAGCAGCTTCTTTATTTAAATTAAGGGCAGCCCTAATAGATGCTTATACTCACCTTCCTTTCCAGGCAACTCAAGTCAGCATAACTAGGTTGAGCTTTACCCCCCCAAGGCCCTTAGGACTGCTACTTCACAAAGACTCCAGCCTATGGTCCATGGCAGTATAACCACCTTACTCCCATGGACCATAAGCTACTGCTGTATAATTGATGTGATCTGCATGGCAAATAGTGGTTGGTTTTTAAGTATTGATAGAGATCATTGATCTTGAATAACGTCTGGTGCCATTTAAGTCCAACATATTTTGCTTTTTGAACAATTTCTATACATCTTACGCGGATGTGGCGCCTTAAGCTATCACCCCATTTGGCTATTGGAGATATGCTGTAGATCAGGTCTTCTTAAACTGATTCCACTCGTGACCCCTTTTTGGCAGATTACATTTTTATGTGACCCCAGCGTCAGACAGTGTTTCTCCCCTCTTTCCCCACAGCGTCGGTTGGCGTCTCCCTCCTCCTCCCCCCCAGCATCAATCAGCGTCTCTCTCCTCCATACCTAACATCGGTCAGGGTCTCTCTCCTCCTCCTCCTCCCCCCCCCGACTCGGGCTCATCGCCGTCCGCC